TATTTAACAAAACTATTATTTGTTTAATAGTATATATGGATGGTACAATTTTTTTTAACAAAAATATTATCTGTATAATAGTATAGATTGATGGCACAAATTTTTATACCAAAATATTATTTTGGTTAATAGTATAGATAGATAAATACAAATTTGGATACATGTATTGACACGGACAGTAAGCAACATTCTCATTTTAAGTTAATAGTTTATAATCATTCAAAAGTACGAATGAATGTGATGTACGAGTAAAAGATATTTATCAATATTTATAAATAATTTTTTTAAAATAATATTTGGAAATAAAAAATATAGAATCAATATGTGATACAGTTTACCTATATTAATTGATTGAAAATACTATATCAAATTTTACCTATATTAATTGATTGAAAATACTATATCAAATTAGAATTGTGCGAAATTAAATAAAACATGTCTATTTAAAATTAATACACAACCTGTACGGTGCATGTAATTGATAATAAATTACAATAAATTCATTTCAAAATAAGTGTCATTTTGGTAAAATATTATCATTTATTTAAAATATATGAATATAATTAGTGTAATTATAAAAATTATATTATTTCATTAATTAACATAAATTTATTTTTGTATAAGCTATCTAAATCAAGTTAACTGACCATAAGTTAATATTGACCATAAGTTATGAAAATTTATTTTTGTACAAATAACTGACTATTCCATTTACATCCAAGTTAATATTGACCATAAGTTATGAAAAGTTACTTATTTGATTTTTAATTTTGGAACCCAAATTTGGGCTGCACCATAAATTTTCTTATATATTTCGCAATTTTCTAGGTTTGTTGTCAGTTACTAATGCAAGTCCAACGCTCAACCGGTTAAGAATCGGCTCGCCTTTGCTGTCCTCGTAGGTAGGCACCAACCACTTGCATAAACTCTTACATTGGAAGGGTTTTTCAGTGAAGAGCCTTCAACGCTCAAGTCAATCTCGAGCTATCTCTGTTTTTTCAGTAATAAGAATGAATGATATGTTATGTAAATCGTAAAGCTCACCTTTATATATAAGGGTGAGGTACCTGCTTTTAGACGCTGCCCGGGTATGCCTAGCTGGCTGCCCAAAACTGTCCGTTCGTACACAAAAGTGTGCGTGTGTCATAGACGGTTATTCAACAGGGACCAATTAGGTCGCGCCACCCGTCCTTCGCCTGTGGGGTTTTGATTCCCCTAAGATCCCCTCGAGGGCTCTTGTGTTCGACCTACTCTCGGTAAATCGCCAGATCATTCTCAATCTGTAGAGTGGTTGATCAAACAACCGTACGCTCGACAGGTCGGTCTTCGACCAGATCCTCCGGGGAGCTGGAACCGACCTGTTCTTCTAAGGTTCTCGCTTCCGTGATCTTCGACCCCAACCACCATGTTCGACATCTGTTCGATCAGAGTGGTTCCTTCGGCTTATTCAACCAGCTGACTTGACTAGTTCTAGGTATAATATCCGATATCATCTAGTCCCCCCAACTCTGGTCAAGTCTAAATGACTCGATCTAAGAGTAGATTTTCGTTTATTTTTTAACTACCTTCATGCCCACTATCCTTCGATCTATTGGCTCGTTTTTTTTTTTTTTTTCATTTTCGACCATTTTGCATCCTAACCGTCATTTTAAAATTTTCAAAACTCAAACTCTGCCACTTGGCCCGTCCGTCAGGCGCATCCTTTCATATGTCAGACCCCATAGTACCCCGTGATTTGTGCCTCTTCGTACTTCGCGCCCCTTAAGTATTTTCCTTAACATAGTCGTTAGATTAACCTCTTTAATCTAACGGTTCTTACGCTAACGCCTGTTCCACTATCTCTTCAATCACAACCGTTCGCCTCTTCACCTGCATCTTCTATAAATACCTTCGCCATAACTCTTGGAGGTTTTTTACTTTGCGAATTTTCAAACTCTGTCTCTCAATCAAACTTCTCGCAATTTTCAGGCTTTTT